CCCGGAACGCGCTCCCGGGTCGCGAACGGCCGGTGAACGCAGGCCCGGGCACCCGGATCCTGGGCCTCTGGACCCCTGGCTGGGCTAGGAGGCAGCGCCCGGAGGCGCCTTTGCCCTTGCTGCTGGGTGCTCCCCACCCTCACCCCACACTTCGGGGCAAGCGTTGAGAGCAGGAGCACCCTCGCTGCTAGCTTGTTTGAGGGCCTTCGTTCCCGCCGCCTCGCCGGAGGAAGGTGCTACCAAACCCGACTTAGGGATCGGGACAACCGAGGCGCCAAGAAGCCGGTGACTCGGACAGGAGGCCGTGGGAACGCCGCCTGGGTGCCCCGGCCCCGCCCCGCCCCAGGTCATCTTGGGGTCCCCGCGAGCCTCGCTCTGGGCTCGACTTTTAGGGTGCCCTCCCCACAACGTCGTCGTCCGTCGTCGCCCTGGCTCTTCTGCCTCTCCTTTCCAGGCCGCCTGGAATCTTTGTCAGGAAGTGAATGCTTTTTAAAAATAAGATGATCCGGTGCTAAGTATAATGCACCCGCTCCGTCAAATCGCTGGTCTCCAAGAAGCTGACAGGTAGCCCCGGTGACGGTGAAGGCGTCCCAGGGGTTGAGGTGCTGGGGGGCACCTTTTCCTTTAGTGCCTGTGAAGAGAATTCTGCTAGCAGTGGATCAAAGAATGGTAGGATCCAGTGTAGACATTTTATATCCTCGGTCACCTCATCAGCTGCCACCCTCCGTGCTGTATATTAAACTGCCGTCATTTTCTAAGGCTTTAAAAAAATCACTTATGCTTCCTCAGCCCTGTATGTAGTGCAGCATCATTAAATACCAGGCATAATGTCCCTAACAAGCGACACTTGGAACAAAAGAGCAAGCATGCTTTAGTGACTCACTTGACCGGAAATCTCTGAGAATGTCTCTTTCCGATTTGCCGAGTTTTCCAGTGTGGTACTACAAAGCTGTGGCTAGGCAGCTCTGAAGTGCTTGGGGAACGAGGAGGCAGAAGGTGCAGAGGCCAGACTTCAGGTGGGAGGATAAAAGGGAAGCCTGGATTGAATCTTCACACGTAATTATCTATTCTAGCTCTGTCTCCAGCAAGCTGTGTGACCTTGGGCAGATCCTGAACTGCTGGGAGCTTCGAGTTCCTCATCTGTCAAAAGGAGGAAATAACAAGAGTCCTACCTTCTCCAACCTCATAGTGTTGATGTAATGATCAAATGAGATAATGGCTGAGAGAGCGCTTTGGAAAGACTATGAAAGTGAGGTGTTTAAAATGGACATTTATTAAGCATTCAGTGCCTTGGGGAGACACAAAGATAGATACGACCAGGTGTCCGCTCTGAGGAAATTAATGATCTAATTGAGATAACACCTATGTCTATGGGGGTGGGATGACACATAGCAGGAAAATAGGTGTCAAAAGAGCAGTTGAGACTATAAATATTAGAGAAATTTGAAGAAGGTAAAGGGTTTCTTGGGCAGTAATAGAACAGGTTTTTTGGGGGGGTAGGGGTAGGAAAATGTTATCAAATTAATCTTGTCTTAACTGGCCTTTAAGGGAGAGGACCAGTTTGAGTTATTTAGAACGGTGCAGACAGAGATCTAAGGTGCAGTCTTGGGGTCTGGACCAGCAGATGGCTAAGGCTCCCCAAGACTGGCCAGTCGTCGACTATAGACTGTCCTGACAGTTAAACATGCAGCCACCCCTGTGAAAAGGATCTTCTAATCAGAATTGCTGGAGAAGTACTAGATCTATTCTCTCCCCCCTCTTGCTGACGTTCCCTTGTCTCTCCCCTCCTCTTTTTCCTGATTAACAAACAAGCAAACACACAAAACAAACCAGCCGCCTTAGGATTTAGTTGGCACACACTATACGAAGCGCACTGTTTGATACATTTCCAGGTAGGCGTACATGTGTGAAACCGTTCGCCACAAGGTGGTGAACAGAGGCAGCACCCTGAGAAGCTTCCTCTGCCTCTGTAATCCCTCTCCCCCACCCCTCCCTGCCCCAGACAAGCAGGGATCTGCCTCCTGTTGGAATAAGGTGCCCCCCCACCCCCATGCAAACGGAGTCAAATACAGATGTAAGCCTGTTGTTGTGGGGTCTTTCACGCAGCATCATTCCTTTGCGATTCATCCAGGTTGTTGCTCCATCAAAAATCCTTTTTAGTTCATTTCTGTTTTATTGTTGAAATGAAAAAAAAATCCTTTATACACCCTTAATTTGGGGGGCTCGGTATTTAAGTGGGTGCTTCCTCCATGGCCCCTCTCGTGGCTTTGTATAGAGAATCATTTTGACCACCCCATAGTGCGGAGACCTTAAATAGTTCCATTCGTTCCGTGAAACCGTTAACCTTCACAGGCCTGTCCCCTCATCTCGCTGTCCATCTCACCTGCTATGCCCTGTGCAATGCACAACCACTCACTCCGTGCGCTTTGATGATGGAGTCAAGAATAGGCTGAAGTGATCCAGAGCCAGGCTCCTGGGGGGTAGGGCGGGGACGGCCAATTAGGCCTAGCTACAGTCTCACAATGTCGCTGGACATTCTGCTCGTGATTAAGCCTCCTGAAAACATGATATTGTTAGTTTCCCGTCACCTGTTGTCTTAGTGCTTATCAGTCCCGAAGTTATTGGTGCATATGCAAGTATGAATACAGGTACATACATATCCCCCTCCTTGTACAAGAAATGTGGCATACCATATACACTGTTCTATACCGTGTTTTTATTACTTCAGAATGTATGCTAAAGATCTTTAGGAACCAGGATATGTGACCCGATCAGTGGCATTTAGTACCTTTACCATGTTAAATAACCACCACCTTGTTCTTGGTCTGGAAAGTTTGCATCACCCCAAAATAAAACCCCATACCCATTAAGCAGTCACTCACAATTACCCCCCTTCCTTCAGCCCCTGTCAACCACTAATCTGCTTTCTGTTTCTATGGATTTGCCTATTCTGGGTATTTCATATAAATGGAACGAGAAAATATGGGATATTGTACAATTTGCTTCTTTCACAATTAGCAAAATATTTTCTGGAAATTCATCCACATTGTAGTACACATCGGTATTTCATTTTTCACGGCTGCATAATATTCCACAATATGACTCTAAAACAATTCGTTCATTCATCTGCTGATGGAGATTCGTGTTATTTCCTTTTTGCTATGAACTATTGTGTCCGGGTCTTTTGTGGACATTTTTATTTGAAGCTCACCAATTCCTTCAGTTGAAATAAAAGCTGACTTTCCATTCCTTGGGGGTACGTACCTAGGAATATACATGAGCATGAGTCAGAGGGTACTTCTATGTTGAACTTGTTGAGAAATTGCCAAGCTGTGTTTCACAGTGACTACGCCATTTAATGTTCCCACCAGCAACTGGCAAGGGTTCCCATTTCCTCTCCTCGCCAACATTTGTTTTCCACTCTAGCCATTCTCTTGGACATGACCTGGTCATGGACGGTTATGTTTTGAACTTGATGATGAATGTAAATGGGAGTCTGATTAAAGTCCACTTGGCCTTTCAGACTCGGACATTCCTTCGCCGAGTTATTTCGCGTTACAGAGAAGAATGGAGAATTGCCAAGAACATTGCAAGGACTCTGCCTCCCAGACTCTGCCTCCCACACGCTAGCTAGGACTCAAAGTGGATTCAAAGAGAGAGAGACTCCAGGTGAGGGGGTAGGATTTCACATATGTCGCTAACGGAAACTTTGAGTGGAGTAGGTTCTCACCCTGAAAGTTTGGGTTTAAAGGACCAGTTTCAAAGCTAGGGCATTAAAACAGCCATAAGAGCTTGGAATTATACTTCACTGAGCCATTGTTGAGAAACATCTGAAAAATCAGTCACACCACGGCTGAGGTAGTTGAGAGCCAGGAGTGGGAACTCTGTGATGGGATTGTGAACCCAGAAACTAGCTGCAGGAAGATGAAGTTGTACAGGCAGCCAGAGCGGAGGGATACGTTTCAAGAGTGTTTACTGGAAAAATGAATGCAGTCTGAGCCGCAACTATTGACGATTAAGCTCAAAAAAATTTCCTGCCCATTGTAAGGGCCTGATTTACAAAGGAAACAAGTGGGGAAAGAAAATAAATAGGCAATCAACCTATGAACTCAAGTGTACATTTC